CGTCGCAGCTTGGACACGTTCTCCCAATTTTTTAAGGAAAATGGGCATGAATTCTGATGGCTCTTGCTGTATCCATCTAATGTCTATGTTTTCTTTCCACTATCCCATTTTGTTGAGGAGTTTTGACCATAGATCTTTGGTGTATGATTCCCTTATTCCTAAAAATTTCTGAATAAGTGGAATTAATAAACTATGTTCCATTGTCTAATCTAATACAGTGAACCCTTTTCTGAAATTGTGTTTCCACCATTGTTAGAAAGTTAGAAAGGGTTCTTTTAACTTGTTCTTTTGCTTGTACCAGTTGTGTCCAAGTACTTCTAGTCCAATCCTCCATAATAGTCAAGAAAAGTATTGCCCCTGTAATATTTGGCATTCTGTATGGCCCCCACAAATCAACATGCACAATTTGAAAAGGTACCGAAGTAAAGGGCATGCTTTTGGTAAAAGCGATGTATTGAATTTTGCAAGCATACAAGTATCACAATGAAACTGCTAAGAAGTACAAGTGCTACACTCATCAAGTCTGGAGATAGGATCACATTCCCTACCTTGGTTAATGTTTTGTGAGTGCCATCAAGTAAAGTTATAGTTATAGGAGTTTGTAAGGTATGTAAGGCACATAACATATTTTCAAAAGGAGTTGTATGATCAGATGATCTAGTATCAACAATCTAATCAACAACATTAGCACTATCTACACAATGGGCTTCAACAATGTAAGAGTGTAAAATAATTGATGCCATGGAACTAGGTTTACGTGCAAGGTGAACATAGGAATTTATGGGGCTAGATTTTAAAGAATTTGAAACTTTATCCATCATTAGTTTCATCCTTTCCTGAGCAACATTTTCGAGAAACATAAGATTATTTGGGAAATTATGTCCTTCACTCCTTTGATTGCTAATGTCATCAAGACGTGAATAAGACTGAATATATATCTTGACAATGGGCTATGGTGTTTGTTACAAATTTATTCCCTTCGTAAGCGTTCTGCCCTCTTTTTCCTTTGGGACCGTTCTACCAATCTTGATAGCCCACCAGCTTGAAACATTGTTCCTTATAATTAAAATATGCTGCCATCTCAGTACCAATACATTGAAATCTAGTGAAGGTCTTTTGCCTCTCAACTTGTTGAATTAGACTGCAAGCTTTACTCACTTAAGGAAGGGGATCCAATATAAGTATTTGTCCTCTCGCTGTGTCAAAACCTTTGTTGAGGCCGATAAATATTTTAACTGGTCTTCGTCTTTGTTCAGCTTCCATAGTTTTCTTCTTGGCATCACAAGTGCAGCCATTACAAGTACACAAAGAAGGATCAATGAGTTGCTCAACTCATCCCAAAGTTTATTCAATTTTGTGAAATTAGTCTCACGAGGAAAGTTGATAGTAGTGGGTTGTTCTTTCTTCTCACAAACTAATGAGCAAATAGGAAGAGAAAGTATTCTCCGAGTCTAAGAAAGTACAAACCAAAAATTTGGAGCGGAACTAAGCCCCGACTTTGTTTATGACATGACATAGCTCTACGATTGGGCAGCTTAAATATCAATATCAATTTTCGAGAAGTGAAAGAAAAAATTCATCTATAGGTGCCTTTTCATGGTTTCTCCTAAATCTTATATATCCTTCTAACACCAACGCAAGTGGACAATTATTCTCTATTTGTTTAAGTCGCAAATATAATGTTAGCCAAATACAAAGTATTATTATGGATAATGGTCTTTCTTACATATCTTTAAAAAATTTGTAACTAATTTGTGGTCCATGACCCTTAATAAGATAGCTACAACATTAGAGGAAGGGCTCGACCAAGATCTGGTTATATTTAAAGCCTCTTTTTGTACTAGGACCAAGCTTTAGTTAAAAAAGGATATAGCCATCCCTTAAGTCTTCAAGTCTCTAACATAATGAGAAACAAGGGTCCTTGTTTTACTACAATTTATTTGGTGTGAATTCTTTGTAGAATCCATTTTAGTACATAGGTCACAACCCCCAGGTTTAATTGTTATGCTGGTGCGTTTATTTTGTTTAACTCCCTTTTTATTAGGAATTGAAGAATGAAAAAACTAGAAATAAAACATTTTTATAATTCAAAGTATCAAAATATGACTTTCAATGTTTTTATACTAAAATAAAACATAAAATGCCAAAGATCATCAATATATAATGTCAACATAAAACACTATGAAACACCAACATACAATGTCAAGTTGGGCGTTGCACTATATCAATGCTCGTATTTAGGAGTTAAAACACGGATGATCTTATTTTAATATTACCTATATCCCATAAAAGTTTTTTACTTTGAAAAAGTAAGATTTAAGAAATGTGTATTTTTGGTTTTACTTTCTAATTTTGTCCTTATATCATTATAGGGCAAGATATGATGTGATGGGTAAATTAATAGTGAATGTGACATGTAGGTTAATAATAAGTAAGAGTAAAAGGGAAATTTGAATTAAAAATGAAAATATTATTTTTTTATGGATGAAGTGAAATGTGAAAATAAAATAATTTTTTGGGATTGAGGGAGTATAAGTGTAATGTTTGTATATATTTAGGTTAATTTATTTTTTCAATTTTTGTTAGCAGGGTCCATGCAGAGCACTACTGGCAGATCTTTCAGGTGACAGCGCCGAAAAAATGCGAGTGGCCAATGCACTCTTTTCATTTTTCTCAGCTATCGGAAGCGTCCTCGGTTACGCTGCCGGCTCCTACTCTAGCCTCCACAAAATATTCCCCTTCACAAAGACCAAAGCATGCGATATTTACTGCGCCAACCTCAAGAGTTGTTTCTTCATCTCCATATCCCTCCTCCTCGTCTTGACCGCCATAGCACTCATTTGCGTTAAAGAGCATGTCTTGGAAAAAGACATAATAAAAGAATCTAAAAAGACAAAGGTTCCCTTCTTTGGGGACCTCATTTTGGCCTTAAAGGACCTCCCTAGGGCTATGTGGCTACTTTTATTGGTGTGTGCCCTAAACTCTATCGCGTGGTTCCCATTCTTGTTGTACGACACAGATTGGATGGCCAAAGAGGTGTATGGCGGAAAAGTTGGGAACATATTGTACAACAAAGGTGTGCACGCTGGGGCATTGGGTCTCATGCTTAATTCGATTGTTGCGGGTGTGATGTCCATTGTGTTAGAACTCATGGCACGACGGCTGGGTGGAGTTAAGAAGCTCTGGGCTGGGAGTAACCTTATATTAGCCACTTGCTTGGCCATGACAATTTTAGTCACTAAAATGGCTCAGCGTAGTCGTCGATACGACCCAAACGGCGACATTCTTCCACCACCTGCTGGTGTCAAAGCCGGTGCCTTCCTTGTATTTTCTACCCTCGGGATTCCTCTTGCGGTAAGTCTTTCATTCATCAGCTTTTTCAATTAGAGGTATGTAGAATTTTAAGAAATAATATTCTAATTATTTCATTCTATAAACATTTAATATATACAAAAACATAAATGGGCTCATGGGCCAAAGTAAACAAGATTATACACTTTACATACTAATTACAAAATATACTCCAATACTCCTCAAAATAGTTCATGAATGTCATAAATGCCCAATTTGGACAATAGAAATTAGAAAAGTGGACCTGGTAGTGCTTCGTGAAAATATCAATAGTTTGGAGACATGTAGGAACATATGTCGTGACCACGTGTTGGCGAAGAAGACACTCATGAACAATGTGATAATCAATATTGTTGGGTTTGTGGAGGCTTGAACTTGACTTGTAGGCCCAGCCCATGTTATGTAACCCTAGTTTCTTTTCTCTTATATACTGAGCCCTTGTAATTGTAATTCCGTGAGACACCATAAGTGAAATAAGAAATTCCTCCTGTTGCAGCCGGGGATTAGGGAAACTGAACCACGTTAAATTCTTGTGTGTCGTTTGTATTTTGTTTCTCTCGTTTCTGATAGATTATTTGTGTGTGTTGTGTCCTTAATTCCCAACAAGTGGTATTAGAGATAGATTGTTGTACAACACAGAACACGAATTGCTAGTTGCCAGCTAGGGTTTTGGGGATCTGTGCGCAGTCGCCGGAGGGTAGAGGGAGCATAGGGGAAGCCGTTGAGAATCTCCGCTGACCCAGTCGCCGTCGAGTTCATCGCTGGGTCTTGAACCACAGCGAGGAAGATCGCTGACGTCGTTGCTGCGTGTTGTCGCTGTCGAGCTCCCAGATCGCCGCCGCCATTTGCGTAAAGACCGCCGCACGCAGGAGCAGCGGCAGAAGAAGCCGCGGCCGCATGGAGGAGCCCCCGCCGCCAGTCCGAGGCAAATCCGTCCAGTGGGTACCCTTGCCGTCCGCAAATTGTCGCTATTTAGATCGAGCTGCAAATCAGTTGCGAGGAGCGACGCCGACCAGCACCCTGTCGTGCACCGGTCTGTCCCGTTTGAGAAGCTGCTGTCCAGATTCGGATCCGTTCTTTCAGATTTCGAGCTACTGTCCAGTTTTGTTTGCAGCCGTCAATTGGATCTTTGCAATAGAAGAATTGAAGAAAAAAGGGGTTTTCCTTTTGGCCTTCGAAAGAAAGAAAAGAAAAGAAAAGGTTGGGCTGTGTGTTTTCTTTTATTGGTTTTTGGGCTTGTTATTTGGTTTGGACTGGTTTTATTAGTGGGCTGTGAATTTGTCCTAATTTTCTGACATAATTACCAAGATCTAAAATTAGTTGTACCAGACATTTTGTCTAGTCATGTCGTAGTTGTACCAGACATTTTGTCTAGTCATGTCCGAATTGAGAAGTTCGATGGTACAGATTTCAGTTGGTGGAAGATGAAAATTGAAGATTTGCTGGTTCAGAAAGATTTGGACGTGGTACTAGGTGACAAGCCATAAAAGATGTCGGATGCAGATTGGGTAGGTTTGGATCAGAAAGCTATGTCCGTGATCTATCTCTCGTTGACCAAGAATGTTGCGTTTAACATTCTGAAGAAGAAGACAGCGAAGGGAATTACGGAAGCACTGTCTATCATGTACGAGAAGCCATCTGCAGCGAATAAAGTTTTTCTGATCAGAGAACTCGTGAACACAAACATGAAAAATGACACTTCAGTTACTGAGCATATCAACAAGTTGAATTCAATCTTAGTCAGAGTTTTGTCAGTGGGCATTAAGTTCGATGATGAAGTTCAAGCTTCTACTACTGTTATCGTCATTGCCTAACAATTGGTCCGGAACTGTTACAGCAGTTACTAGTTCAGTAGGACCTGACAGATTCACTTTTGAGAAGATTCGTGACCTCGTTCTTGGCGAAGATGTCAGAAGAAGGAGTTCTGGTGAGTCTTCGGAAGAATCACTAAATATCGTCAGATGCAGAAGAAATAACAGAGGTAGTGGGTGTAAGAACAGACGAAGGAGTCAATCGAAGACTCGGGATAGCTCAGGCGTAACGTTCTGGAAGTGCAATGAGGTG